AAGCAACAGCACATGACAGGAAAAAGTACAGCTGTGGGGCTCATTTCCACGCAATCCTCTGGAGAGCATAAATGAGCAATGAAACAAATCCACAAAGAACAGGCCCATCTGGTAGGTGCCTCTAAGTCCCTGATCTACTGATAATTCAATCCTTTACCTGCTATGCTTCTCGCATTCTTCCCAATTACCCTGATTCCTCCAAGATACAACAGCACAGACTACCTGGCTACTGACAGGCATTGCTTTCACCTCTAAATCCATGGAAGCTGATGGAGCCCACTGCAGGAAAACTGGGGAAAGCCTTGAAAGGTTCAAGCTTTCACAATGACCTCAGGAAAGTGGCAGGAAACAGCCAAAGAAAGACACAAGGACTAAGTTTATAAAGAGACAACAGACCAAAGCCAACAGTGGCAGCTCTCCTGAAACACGTCTGAACCTTAAAATAAATCAGCCATGTCCTACAACCCAAAAGGCAAAGCTGGACACACCTCCAAACAACAGACAAGGGACCAGTTCTCTGAGGGGGGATGACCACAAGTCAGGGCTCTACAAATCCCAGATCCACTCACTGAGCTGAAAGCTACACGAGATGTACAGAGAAGAAACTTCTCCAAACAGTAAAAACCTCCCGAAACACTTCAGAAACAAGCCCAGACTAAATTCTCTGCCCTGCCAGGCCGCCTCTCCTGTGCCATACCTTCTTAGCAAGATGAGTGAGGGGCTTGGTTCCAGCCAGGTCTGTGAACCAGTTGTTTATGGCACTCTGAGAACGCGCTGTCACCAGCCAGAAGTTATCCTTCTGGTTCACCTGGGGCTTCCTCCTCCCCGTGTCAGGCAGGGTGTTGCACCGCAGCTTCTCCGCAATAATACTGCTGAAATTTGAGCTGATCTGGAAGGGAAAGAAAAGGATTCGTTACATTTCACAGGTCAAAGACCCCTTTCCTGCGCGCTTCAAATCTTATTTATCACTCCTACCAGAAGTATCGGCTTTTGGAAACACACACAAAATAAACCTGCCAGTAATTTCCTTTCTGCTTGCAGAGATGAATGTTCCCAGACAAATCCTACAATAACCAAGCAGGGACTGCAGATGGGCACAGCACTTCATAAATACCCCATCAAACCAGACAGGAGGCACTTCTCAGACAGAAGTCAGCCAAGAAAAACAAATATCCTGTGCTCATTGATTGCCTTCCAACTCAGGTCATTACCAGCCCTTCTGTCGGAGAGGCCAGGAAGTCAACACTTTGATTTCAGAGACTGGAAAAATGGACTTGAAGCCTCTTACGTAATTCCCCTGTCTAAACTGCCAGATGTTTCAAGAAATCTTACTTCTCTTTTACCGTGAGCGTGATGTAACCAAACCAGTAAGAACTTTCTCTCTCCTGGGATTGCAGCCTTCTGCTTTAACTGCAGAACACGGGGAGTCCCAGATGCTGTTTTCACTGAGACTGCAGACACAGACCTGCCCCTGAGATGTACAGAGCAAGGCAGGAACTCTCTTGCAGAGGTGGGACACAGTTCTAAAAGAATGCAGAACTTGGACTGCAAAGGAAGAGAGGGTCAGGTCCTAAACCCACTCATCCTAAAGGAAAAGGTCTCCTGGTTCTCTCGACACAGAGGAAGGACTAAGACCCAGGGCTGTCCAGGACCCCGCAGCCCACGCTGCTAAACGCCCCGTCTCACCTTCGCCGGGTTGAAATTGACATTTTTGGCACTGCCGTGCTCGTCCCCGGAGACCGCCGGCTGGTTATTGAAGCCTTGCTTGACATTCAGCGCAGTCAGCTCATCCTGTGGGGGGGAAGGACGGTCAGCGGGGCCCGGCGCGGCCCCGCCATGCTCACCGCCGCCGCCCCCGGCCCCAGAGCGGGGGCCGAGCGAGGCCAGGCCCGGCTGCTCCCCCGGCCCCTGCCGCCCTACCCCGCCCAGGGCAGTGCGGGACACGGGGACAGCGGCCCCGCGGCCCCCCATTGCCCGCCCAGCGCCCCCCAACCCGCGTGCCCGGCGGGACGGGCCCCGCTCCCGACCCCCGCCCCGCCACCTCCACAGGTCCGGCCACGGCGCGGCTGTCCCGCACCCCGCGTTCCCCCCAAGCCCCCCGCACCTCCTTCTGCTTGGGGTCCTGCGGGTACACGTCGGGCGGGCCGAGGCGCGGGCGCTTGAGCGGACGGTGCTCGTAGCTGAGGACGCCGAAGGCCGCCATGGCCGGGCCACAACAGGGGCCGCCGGGGCCGCCCGCGCCTGCGCGCTGCGCGCTGCGCCCGGCACGGCGGGGACCGCCGGAACGGCCCGACAGCCGCCGGAGCCGCGCCGAGGGCGAACGGGCAGTACCGAGAGCGGGCGGAGAGACACGAGTGTTGCCGGAGAGACACGAGTGTTGCCGGAGAGACACGAGTGTTGCCGGAGAGACACGAGTGTCGCCGAGGCCTGGCCCAGTGGAGACGAAAAGGTCCGAGCACAGACGGAGAGAGCCGAGGAGAGGCCGAGACAGACTGAGATTCCCGAGTGTTTCCGGAGAGGCCCGAAGACGGACTCGGGCTGGACGGAGAGTCCCGAGTGGTGCCGGAAAGTGCCGAAGAGGGACGTGGCCCGTGACCAACAACATCCCACATTTGCTGATGATGCCGCTCTCGTCGCCCACACAGAAGTAGCTCTGCAGCGTTTAACATCCTGCTTTGCAGAGGCTGCTGAGCTTTGTGGTCTGGAAGTCAGCTTGAAGAAGACAGAATTTTTATATCAGCCTGCACCTCAGGAAGCCTTCCATCATCCCCATATCACCATTGGTGAAACAGCACTCAAATCAGTCCAACAGTTTAATTATCTAGGAAGCATCA